TTTTTTTATTCTTTTCTTGAATTTTTTGAATTTTAAATATCAAATAATTGTGTTTTACTAAAAGCAAAAATGGTTTTGCAAAACTAATAATTTCCGTTGAGTTGATATTATTAATGTAGTAGGCACAATATCTATTTACAAAATACGTTCTTGTCATTGTGTGTTTCAAATAGAAGTTTGCATCTCATTGTAAACGATACTTAGTAATCACGTGAATTACAGTACAAAGCAATAAAGAACGTCGGCAATTGCTTCATACCTCTGTAGCTTAGTTGGTAGAGCGTCCACCTAGGAAACGGTAGATCACTGGTTCGAGTCCAGTTCGAAGAGAAATTTTTTTTTAATTTTTCTGCCTTTAACTCATTCCTTTTATTCCGTGATAATTAAATCATGGAATTATATTATGAAACTTTGAGACGTACAAAAGTTTTTTTATAATCTATATTTTATTATTCTTAAAATAAATAATTTACAAATTTTTCATTGAATCCATTACTAACCACAGCTCAAATAAGTATAAAGAAAATATTTTCTTAATTTTAAAAATAAATAAAATTGAAGAAATTATTACAAAAAAATACTCGTTATACAAATTTACCCTAAATTCACCAAAAACATAACATGGTAAAAACTCATTATAAACAAAAGGGTAAAATAAATTATTCACCCCAGTTTTTATACACGCATAATATAAAATGTGTATTTTATATGCTTAAGTTTTGCAGTATTAATAAAAAGTATGCGCATATTTAATTTTTCTAATCTATGTATATATACACACTGAAAAAAAATATGACTGCCGTTGCTATAATTTATGTACAATTTTTACCATATACATAGGATATTTTGGGATAGTGGAATTGTATAGCTGTATTTGCTATATTTTTATAGCAAATAATTTCCATACAAAATAGCCACATTTACTAAAAATATAGTATATTTTCCTATATTAAATGTTCATATATCTAATACACCTTAGCATTATTTACTATGTATAACAGTATTATGTGCTATAAGAAATAGTAAATAATGCTATAAATATTGCAATATTAAATATAAATATATTGTAAAATATCACATAAGTTTAGCAAACAATGTCATGTACGATATGCAAAACTCACATCAAATATAGCAGTTTTCGTTATTAACAATTGTAGTAATTGCTATGAATATTGTAAATTGTACAATGGGAAATGTGCGTTGGTTATATGTGTAGAAGAGTAAAATATGAAAAATATTACTATCTTTGCTATAATAAATAGTACAAGTTCTTAAAAAAAATATTAATATTTACCATAAATATAGCAGATATTGCCATACTAAATTAACGAAAGTTTTAATAAACATAGCGCTTGTTGTTACACGTAATTGCAATGATTACTATAAACATAGCAAATTTTGTTATACCCCATATATTGTAGAAATGTGCATTATAGCTTAAAATGCTAAAAGTATTGCAAATTTTGCTATGAGAAATAGTAAACAATACAATGAATGTTGTCATATTTAGTATAAATAAATTGTAGAATATCATATGCATTTCGGAAACAATGCTATATAAAATATGAAAAAATCGCATCAAACGTACCATTTTTCATTATTAACAATTGTAGCGAGTGCTATATATATTGTAAATTATGCAATGAAAAACGTGTATTGGTAATATGTGTACAACAGTAGTACGTGGAAAATTTTGCAATCTTTGCTATAATAAATATGCGAGTTCTTAATAAACTATGAATCCTTACCATAAATATAGCAGATATTATCATGTTAAATTAATGGAAATTTTAAACATAGCACGAGTAATTGAAAGAATTATTATATACATGATAAATTTCGATATGCTCAATATTATATTACAATTATCTTCATTATAGTTTAAAAGTGCTAAAATTATTAAAAAATTTGTTATAAAATAAACTCTGCTAATTTTATTAATACATAAGAATTTATTTTACATTTAATTTTACATTTATTTTACATTAGAAAATCATTTACATTCTTCCACAATGTAGGTAACTTATTTCTTAAATTGAATATATTTAAATTTATTATTTTTTTTTATATTTAAATTTATTATAATTTATGTAAGATAGTTTAAATGTTTTTTAACATAGTTCAGATACATATTAAATATTTTGTAATAAACAGTATAGTTTACATTATCATTTTACATATAACAAAAAAATTTTAAGATAAGCAATTCTATTCTATTTTATCAAATTTTGAAGGATTTGTTTGATTTACATAATTAAATTTTTATTATTTTTGATATATATTACGAAAGATATATGTAAAACCAGAACTATATTCACAAAATTTTCAAAAATTGATACTAAATTTGTTAACGATTAATTGAAACATAAAAAAACTATTGTAACACATACTTTTCCGACTTAATTTTATGTAAATATGTATTATTAGGCATGTTATATTCATCGATTTTCAATAAATCAAATTTATCGGTATATTCAACCAAGTGACAATATCTATGCAAATCAAAATAATATGTTTCTAAATTTTGCAAAATTAAGTAAACGTTTTTTTGAGAAATTATAGCAAAAACTATAACACCAAACAGTGGGTATCCATCTAAATTACCGCATTGTAGAACAAAGCCATTTTTATAAGTTCTGTTATTAATTTTTATCCAATTGTAGCACGCAATTTGATCAATTTCACTTATTTCATATTTTTCAAATAAATCCACATATTTTGATAGATCGGGATAAATTAACTTTCCACATGAGAGAAAGTCTGTCCAATATAATTTATCTTGTTTTTCTACTTTGTTTAGTAAATACCGTTGCGCCATAGTATGACATAAATTTCTTCTCGAAGTTGTAGATTTTGCAACGTCTTTAAATATTTTATGCATCCCTTCAAATCGCATCGACCATAAATTAATTACTGGGCCCATTAGTCGCATAATCCTTGGATAGTGGCACATAAAATGATGTTTACATTTCAGAGGTAATTTGAAAAGTGATAAAAATATTGTATGGTGCTCAATTATTAAATTTTCTAAAACTTTAATTATAGGCTCATCTACAGATTCAAGAAACAAAATATCCATAATTTTCTTTAAAATTAGAAATATATTCCAGTAGTGGTCATTTTCTGGTATCAAATCACCTATTAATAATGGGAGATATTTGAAAAACCATAACACTTCTGAGGCGGAATATCGTAATTTATTATTTTTTATATGATCTGCAGATACGAAAGGTGGTTTATTGATATTATCACATGAAGGATAGTCAAAAAAAGAAATTCGATTATTAAGTTGTTCTAAATTAAAATATTTATCAACGAAAATATATTGCTTCAAAATTAGAGACGTTTCAAAATTAACTATGCCCTCCAAAAAGTCATGCATAAGATCTACTGAAAAATTTTGTGTTACTTTGAAAAACTGAAGTTGGTTAAAGATACATTTAGAAACTATGCCAGTTAGTGAAACATTGTTTTTAGACAAATCTGATAAATAGTTCTCGTCATTCCTCAAAAGTGAAGTTTCTTCTTTCAAACACCTTTCAGCTTCACTTCTATGAATTTTACAATGTCGACAAAAAAAATTTGCACGAAATCCGTCTGTAAAACCTAATATTGAATTGACACCTTTATTATCTCCAACGACTGCGGCCAAAAGAAAATAAATACATTTGCCGTTCACCTTTATTCCTTTTGTTTCTAAAATAATTAATTCGTCTAAAACACACTGAAATACTTTATTTCCAAATCGCTTAATATCAATGCTGTTGATCAAATATGAAACAAATATATTTTCAAGTTTTGATTTTAATAAAGGAGGTAAACATGGACAAGAAAAATAAATGGCACCAACGTTTTGCATTCCAGCTCTTGATCCTAAAGCATTGTTACATTCAAATTCATCGAAATACAAAAAAAGTGGCAAAACGATGTCGCTCTTAGAATATTTAAGAACTTTTTGCTTCCAGAGTTTTGTTTGATATATATTGCTTATACATTTTTTTTCTGTAGCTTCTAAGTATTGTATGTATTGAACAGTGACTTCTAATCGATTGTTTGTGAAAAAAATTGACAAAGTTTCCAAAAGTGAAATAAAACTGGCCTTTACTTCTACTGTTCGTACGAAAATTTTATTCGATTTTTTTACTTTCTCAATTCTTTCGCCTATAACAATTGATTTGGGTTTGATATTTGAAAAACTTTCCTGAATTATTTTGAATCTTTTATACTCAGTTGAAATTTGTGTTAAACTAGAGCGAAGAATGGCAAATACCTTACTAACAACATAGTGAATCGATTCTAAAGTGCCTGTATTCTCAAATATAATTTTTTCAGCTGTTACAAAAATATCCGAATGTAAGTAATTCGAAAAAATGTGAAGTATTTCTTGAACCGATTTTCTATTTATATTAATATTATTGTAAAGTTTTCTTATTAGTTGACTATTTTCCTGATTAACAATAGTACTCAAAACATCATAAATGCTTGATACATCACTTGAATGTTTCAAAATATTAATAGTAGCATCAGTTAAAAGTTCTTGGTCTTTGTCAATTTCTAATGATTCGCTTGCACGGTTGTTTTGATTTTCCGCAGTGGAAACTTCACATGGCGAAATAAGATGATTATGTTGATTTTTTACATGTCGAACAAATGAATCCAGTTTTGGATATTTGCGTACAATTGGACAAAAATTACAAATAAAAATGGCTTCATTTTTATGAAAATATGAAACGTGTTTTAAAAATGTTTTGACATTTTTAAATTCTTTTGCCGAACATTTAAAGCAATCCATTATTTAAAAATTGTTTCAAATAAATAATATTTTAGTCGGATGTAAGTTAAAATTAATATTCTAGTTAATATTATTAAAAAGTTAGTTGAAATTTTTTTTTGGTAAAGCTTAAATAATACTGATATATTTTGAATTAGTTTAACTACTAATAAGTTTAAATACAAATATTTGTATCAAAAAATTATTTGTAAATCACTGCCAAGAAGAAAAAAAATAGTAGTTGACTTACGTAGCCAAATCAGACATCAATGAATTAAGTCTGCTGTATGTTTTATCATATTTCGTGGATATTTCGTACACAAACTTCTGCAAAAACATCCAAATAATTTCACAGTCCTGCTGATATTCCGCATTTACTGCATGTATTATTTTGAAACAAACGTCAATGGCAACTAATGGGCTATCCAATATATAAAGCACGTCATTCACAAATACGTAAGAACACTGAATATCATCTAGGTAAATAAAAAGATATTTGTATTAAAATTTTTTCTTAAAATATTCTTACAATATTTTTTTGGAAAAAATAAAAATAATGTTTTCACAAAATTTAATAATTTCGAAAAAAATAGTATTGTGAATTAATTCAGTAAGTACTAATATGTTCTAATAGGAATATTAATTGTTTAAATAAAAAATATTTAAAATTATAAATTTATTAATTAATATTATAGTTTTATAGATAGTTAGTTAGTTTTATTTCTCAATCCCAATTTGTAATTAATTATAAAACTTAAACAACTTACCGTAAGAATCACCAACAAGAAATAAGCTTGGCTGCAAGCGCTGACTTTTACTTCTCAAATTAGATTTCAAATTTTCGTGGCTCTCTAGAAGTAAGCTAGTGTCCTATTATAAAGTCAAACAGATCTTATTAGTCACATATTAATTAGTTTTTCACAAAATATTTTTTTTATTTTACCTTTACTAAAAATAAAAAAGAACTTAAAAGTTCGTAACTTGTTAACTTCACTCGTCTGTTTTCTGTTGACTTTTTCCTATACGCCGAAGGAGCTAAAAGTATTGAGAGTAACTCAAAAACATGCAAACTATTTTCCGTTTTTGTATATAATTTTATAGATTTTGATTTGTTTTGGGAAAAGTATGTAGTTAACTTGTCGGTTATACAATCCCATTTGAAAAATAGCTTGTCATGTTTATCTCCATACAACGTCTCGAAATCTTTTATCAATAATAGATACCCATTTCCGTTTCGCAAAAAAGGAAATTTTTTAAAATAATCAAAAATTGAAAAATTTTTCGAACTTTTAAGCAAGTTTTGCCTATAATCAAAAGTTTCTATCCAATATGTCTGTATTTTGTCAAATTGATTAAGGTTATTTTCTAAAAATTTCAGTTTTTCTTTTAAAGCTACATCTTTCTCTGGATTTATCATTACTTCTTCTTCGTTCTTTTCTTTATCCTTTTCCAATTTCAATTTTCTCTTTAAATGGTTGTAATTATCCCATAATTTACCAGAAGCTAGCGATTTAGTTTCTGAATTATATGGCACGAAATAGATTGTGGGCGATTCAGTTTCAAAGATAGTTGTAATTTCTTCTCTTAACCTTAAAAATCTTTCAGTAGTGATTTTAAAAATTTTTTCTTGGCAATTTTCAAATTCTTTATTGATTATAAGCGAAACTAATATGTTTCTGTGACGATTATCAAGTCTGTTGTTATTTTTGAAAAATCGATTTATTAATACAGCATTCGAACCTGTTTTCAAATACTCTGCTACACTATTGTCGTTATTTTTAGAAATTAAATTATTTTTGTTTTGTTGATTAGAAATGAAAGCTTTTGAAGGCAGATTCTTAAAATTAGAAAATTATTTAACTTAATATTGTTTTTTTGTTTTATTATTTAAAAACTTACCTCGACTATTTCATTTAAGTTAATGTTTTCAAGCTGAACTTCAGAGCTTGAAATTTCACTTAAAGTGTTGCTTCTAACACTTAAGGCAGATGCTTCAGACACAGTCTATAATATTTTAGAAAATAAAATTTTCTTTTTTGTAAAAATTAGATATTTAAATACCAATTTTAAAATATTTTAGTAAGAAAAAAAGAAATAAAGACTAAAACTTTCATATTAACAAAACAATTGTTTTTGCTTCTAATATCTTTTGAATTAATTAAACAAACCTCTTCTTATTACTTTTAGCTTTTTATAAAAACATTTTTCTTCAAAAATTTTCAAATGTTAAAATAGAAAAAAACAAGTACCTCATAAATGAAAACAATAAAAAACAAACTCAACTTTATTTATTTTTTAAATATTTAAAATAAGCTGTTGGAGTTGTACGGCAGGTACCCGAACCTGTCAAGCCATTTCATAAAAACTTCTAGAATATATGTGACCTATAATTGGACACATATTTGCTAAATCTTACGAACCTAACTTTATTATTTTCTTAAATATTTAAAATAAGCTGTTGGAGTTGTACGGCAGGTACCCGAACCTGTCAAGCCATTTCATAAAAACTTCTAGAATATATGTGACCTATAATTGGACACATAAATGCTAAATCTTACGAACCTAACTTTATTATTTTCTTAAATATTTAAAATAAGCTGTTGGAGTTGTACGGCAGGTACCCGAACCTGTCAAGCCATTTCATAAAAACTTCTAGAATATATGTGACCTATAATTGGACACATAAATGCTAAATCTTACGAACCTAACTTTATTATTTTCTTAAATATTTTAAATAAGCTGTTGGAGTTGTACGGCAGGTACCCGAACCTGTTAAACCATTTCATAAAAACTTCTAAAATATATGTGACTTATAATTGGACACATAAATGCTAAATCTTACGAACCTAACTTTATTATTTTCTTAAATATTTAAAATAAGCTGTTGGAGTTGCACGGCAGGTACCCGAACCTGTCAAGCCATTTCATAAAAACTTCTAAAATATATGTGACTTATAATTGGACACATAAATGCTAAATCTTACGAACCTAACTTTATTATTTTCTTAAATATTTAAAATAAGCTGTTGGAGTTGTACGGCAGGTACCCGAACCTGTCAAGCCATTTCATAAAAACTTCTAGAATATATGTGACCTATAATTAAACATCGAAAAATTTGGCATTGAGCAAAATTATGTATGTAGAAATGTTTAAATATATGTCTATACCAAAAGTAATATACCCTTCACAAGATCAATAAACATTTTTTTAAAGCTTTTTAAAAAAGCAAATATAAAATGGTAATCTAAAAATGTTTGCTACTGTACAAATAATAAATTAATGAAAACAATTTTTTCACTTACCTCTAAATTACCAAATTCTTTTTGAAACGCGCTCCAGAAAAGTTGGCGTGGTCCACTCTTTGGGAGAAAATTTTTCAATTCTTCGTAGTGCAGACACTTAAAAGATTGAACTGTGTACTCCTCCGCTAAAATAAAATATTTAAATTTTAAAATTTTGTATTAAATCAAAAAAAATGTAGCTATTAAGTACGTATTTATGACTGCATCACGGTTACCAAACCTCAGGTAGTTTTAATTTATATGAGTTTATGTTCACAAATTGTAAATTGTGACGTAATCAAAAAAAAAAAATTAAAGTTTTCAGTTTTCAGAAATAAAAATTTCTTTTCAAAAACATCTTTGTTGAAAGTTTTTAGTATTATGTCAATGCAACAAAATTTATAATAATAATAATACAAATTTTAACAAATTTTTTAATTAAACAAAAATCGGGTAATTTTAATTTCATTTCAAATAAATCTTTATATTATATTTGGTAAACCTGGCGTCCATATACAATAAACATAAGCATAGTACATGTTATAACATGCAGTACACTTACATATACATATATGTAGGTATGTACGTATATACATCCAAATAAATAAGAAAGCATATTAGTTAACTGTATTAACATAATCGTCGGTTAAAAAGCAGAAAGCATTAAGTCAGGAAACTGTGTTTTGAGTAAATTCAATTTGAAAAAATCGTAAAATTGTAAAAATAATCAATTAGTGGAATGGGATTGGTCTCTTTAATTTCTGGATTTATAAACTATATTCTGGATTTGCATGATTTTTTGCCAAAACAAAGATTATATTATTCTGATTTAATTCATCAATGAAATCCGAATTCTCAAAAAATGCACTTAGCGCTTTCTGATTTTTAACCGACGATATGCAAAATATTCAGTATTATTTCAAAAAAAAAAAATAGATTGCCACTCTTAACTTAATTCTTAAAAGTAAAAAGAATTTATTACTTACCCAAAAAAAAATCCAGTAAATGAGGAAAGCCCCAACGGTTTAAAACTTCCTTCAAAAATTCTTTTGTGTCCATTGCACGGATGTATGTATGTACATATGTATATAATAATTAATTTGTATGAAATAATATAATATTATGTATAATATATAATATATACATATATTATATATATATATATATATATATATATATAATATAATATAATGTAAGATAATATATAATATAATATAATATATAATACGTACAAGTATTATAATGGCATATAACATGTACTTATGTATGTAATCTTTAGTTTTTTTTATTTTGAACTAATATTATTAATTTAATGATTAATAATGTAATATATTATTATTTCGTAATAATTATTTTTTTAATTTTCAAGCACTATTTTTTTTCTAATTTCGAAAATAATTCAAACAAAAAAACTTTACACTTTACGAAAAAAAAACTTGTTAACACGAGATGCGCGCACTTTTCACAATCAATAAAATATAACTGACAAAAATGCGAGCAAAGCGTACATATACTGACAAAAAACAAAAACTCAGAGGTAACTGTTTTTTTTGGACGTTTTGTTGTTGGACTGATCAGAACATATTTGCTTGATATTTGATGTTGTAAATAGTATTGCCATATGGATGATAATGGAATGAGTTTCAGTTTTATATGGAATAGAGAATTTTATTGATTGTAATTTTTTAAAATTTATTTTTTATTTAAATACATAATTTTTTTTTTAAATTTTTTAAAGCCATTACACTTTTTCCAAAATTTTTGCATATTTTTATTTTTATTAAAATGTTAAGCAAAAATAGTCAAAAATATGACATTTGACGATAGTTTTATGTTTACATTCTTTTTTAATAAAAAAATATTACTAAAAATAGTATTTTCCATTTCTAAATTCCTTTAAATATTAGTTATAAAATTGAGACCATAAAAAATAATAATGCTTTATACAAATAATTTTTAATCCTAAGGTAAGAACGACATATGTATATTAAAAAATGTTGGCAATATCTTCATAGAGCAAAAAGAGACAAAAGAAAGAAAAACAAAAAATTATAAAAATATTTGTCTTCCGTTAGAACTCCACCAATAATTAGCAAAGTTTTCTTCCTCTTTCTCACAACTTAGTTTTTGAAAAGGGAAAGAAAACAATAAAGAAAAAAATAAACTCACTACATTATTCAACTTTTTTTAACCCTTTGTTCTTAAAAAAAAATTAACCCTTTACTCCATAAAAAGGAAAAATAATAATGTACAATACATTATAAAAAAATTGTTGAGCATAACATTTTATAACATATTAAATCGATATTATGAATGATGTTAAATTATTTAAATACTTTTCAATTAAAGGAACAGAGTGTGCATATTATTATGTACATATGTATATTATATCCTAAACAAATTAATTATTGTCCTTTTTTTTACGGATTGATTGCGGAAGTAGTTTCGATAAATTTTAAATTTTAATTATAATTTACTCTTCACTTTTATAATTCATATCGTTTTCCATTTCATGTTTTGCATAAACATGTACATAGGTACATAAATCGATATTTGTAAATTTTGAAAGGTTGTTTGGAGGTATTCAACTGATTCACGAATCGGCACGGTCCAAACATAGAAACAGCCTCAGTTTCTTTAAATAAGATCGTTTCTTTTATAAAATTGTTTAATAAATGAAATAAATTGTTAGATAATGATTAATACATTATAGAAATGTAATAAAGAAAAAAGAAATGTCAAACTATACATCATATCACCTATATGTATTTTAAAAATTTGCACATTTATTATTTAGTATGTAAGAACGATTATTTTCAACTGTGTTAAAAGTGCTGTGTTAAAAGTACATACAAAAGAATTTCTGAACCTGTTGAGATATTCATGCCACAGTTTTGTATACTTACTTTACGTTACTTATACTAAAAAATATTTTCTAAATAACCCAGAGTTTGTTTAGGAGGAGTGAATTGTGAAATCGGGTGGAAATTATACTTTAGAAAATTGATTGAGATTTTTAATTTTAGAAAAGGTTTCATACGCATTTGAATTTTTTTTTTAGAATTTGACATTTCTTAAAACTATAATATAAGAATAAGAAATTTTCTTCTTTCTTGTTGAAATAACATTATTATG